CTCCTCCCATCTTTGCTCTCAGTTTCTCCCTCTTGCTTTCCGCCTTCATGTGCTATTCCCGCTAGACTTTTACCCACTTTCTTCCACCCTCCTCATTTCCCACTTCTTCCTCACTTTTCTTTCTCTCCCTCTTCTGTTCTTTTCTTTCTATCTTTTTTATTCTCATGGCCCTCCTCCTCTCTCCTTGCCCACCACTCCTCCTCCCTCTCCCTCCTCCCTCTCTTTTCTGCATGAGCAAGTGCTCCCACTTCTGCATGGACACGGCATGATGCTTCCAGCCTTGGCCTTCCCTGCTGGGAACAGGATCTGGGGTGACTAGACCAACTTTCAGAGTCCTGGTGGACACTCAGGGCTTTGCAATGAGGGTGCTCAGTGAGAGTTCAGGACAGCCTGGCTCTTTAGCTGCCCCAACCAGACCACCTGGGCCGCCTGGCCAGAGCCTCAGTGGGTGCAGTACTTTGCATGGACCATCGGGCTCAAGACACAAGCTGGTGCCCTGGCACCAGCTGCTCCATCCACTCTTGAGTACACACTCCCTGGGGACAGGGCACCCCCTCTGACCTCATCCTGAGCCTCTGATCCTAGGAACCAGGGCCAAGAGTCAGAAGCCCTGGGTGTGGTCCCGGCTCTGCCTGCGACCACCTCTGTGACGCTTCTGGGTGAGTCTCTGAATTGCTTTGAGCTCAATCTCCCAGTGTGATAGAGGATCATAGCCCTGCTGGGTGCTATTTGCACGATGCCTTGATGCACCCCAATATCGTGAACCCTCCATCAAGGGTCACGTTCCTCTCTTTGTTGTAGTCCACTAGCGTCTCTCTCCCTGGCTCTCGGACATCCAGCCCGTAGGCTTTTAACCCTGGTGAGGGACTCCCCAAACCCTTTCCCTGCTCCGTGGAGCCCGGCGGCCCAGGTAGGGAGATCATGTGCTCGGGCTTACCCTGTGCGTGGCCGTGAGCAGTTCTGGGAGAAGGCTCACCGGGCGGTGGGAACTGTTGACTCCCAGAGGCAATACCTGGTGCTTCCACGACCCCTCTTTCTCCCAGCCCATGGATAAAGGGGAGATGGCTCTAGAAGAACGCGCCCTGTCCACCTCCTCTCCTGCCCTTCACCCTGCTCTCGGCCAGGGGTAGGGAGGCGGTGTTCCGCTGGGCCTGGGGGCTTGGGGGCGGTTCTGGGGTGGCCCTGTCCGGAGGGGAGCTGGCATGGCTTGCCCTGGGGCTGCTAGTGTGACTGCCGTGTGGCTTTCTGGTGCCCTGGCCCAGCAGGTGGCCTCCCGGATCCCCTCACTCCCGGAGCCCCAGGCAAGCAGTTGGACACCCAGCCCTGCCACCTGGAGCCGAGGAATCCAGCCTTTGGAGATTGGAAGGCTGGAAGGAAGAGCTGGGTCTGGGGGGTAGAAGCGTCCAGTCCAGGGGGCATAGGGGAGGCATGTGATGAAGCCCGACCTGAGGGCATTTGTCTGCAGGGGCCGAGGAGCGGCTGGCAGCCATGCTCTATCAAGGTGGTGTATCAGTGTGTGCTGGGGCTGCAGCCCCTAGAGTTGCCCGTGTGTGTGTGTGTGTGTGTGTGCGCGCGCGTGCGCAAGCGCGCCCACGTATGTGATGAAGGGGGTTCACGGCCTCAGGTGCAGCCCACTTTAGGTGAGCTTTGGAGCCATCTGTCCCCCTACGCGCAGCACCATCCTGGGGGGCAGAGTGAGAACCCACAGGAGGTGGGGCTATTCCTGTGCCCTGCTTGTCTTGTCTGGTGGCCGGTGTGGAGGCCCTGGGCTGCAGTGACTGCCATCCTCCAGGCGGTGGGGAAGGCCTGATGCCCGCAGGGTGTGAGCGGCCCTTGGAGGACGACAAAGGGCCTCTGGATGTAGCGTATTATCATTGTAAGGGCCACTTTCTGGCCATCAGGGTATCCGTTCCTCTGGGATGGGAGCTCGAAGGCTGGACTCACCAGCTTTGCTGGGAAGACCTTCCAGGGCCCCTTGCCTGCCTCTCTTTCCTCCTTTCTTCATGAGCTCCCTCTGGGCCCCGGTTTCCTGGTGGGAAAAGGCTGATGGTGGAGCTTCTGAGGGTGACTGTGCCCCACTGCTGTACCTGTCGGGCTAAGGCTGTGTGCGCCCCCGCCTGTGTATGCATGTGCCTGTGTGCGTGCAGGAAGAGACAGAGGCCCTGAGAGCGGGGCCAGGGCCAGGAGGCTGAGAAGGTCCCAGGGTCGGGGGTGGTGGGGGAGGTGGGCAGTGTGGGGAGCAGGCCTATTTTCATTATCCATCCGTCTCTGGGATGTGAGGGAGGGGTGTTCTCCCTCTGACACTGGCTGTCAGCTTGTGTCCAGACATCCCAGCTTGGCTGAAGAACAATGGAGCTCTCTTCTCTCCCCTCTGCCGTGGCCCGCCTCCCCTCCCATAGAGAAAGACAAGGGAGAGAGAACATGGCTCTCTGAGCACTCCAGGGCATATCTGGGCCTGCCAAGGGGGACAACAGTGAGACACTGTGTTCAAAGAATGTGAGAGGCCCAGGCCGGCCACTGGGGCTGTGGGGGCACTCTGTGGGAGAGGGGCTGCCCCCGTGGGAGTGGAATGCAGGGTCTTCCCCCATCCGCAGTGGAGACTCTGCCCTGCAGCACCCTAGCTCTTTTTACATCAACCTGTTCACACCCCTGCCTCTGGACAGAGCATGCTCCCGCGTGCCGGTCTGGTAGCAGCGGCAAGGGGGCTTGAAGAGGTGTGATTGCTCTCAAGTGTCTGACCACCTTGGGCTGGGGTCTCGCATCTTCACAGCCCAGAAGCCCCTCCAACAGTCCAGCCTCCTCTCCGGGTGGCTGCAACCATCTGCAGTCCCTGAACATGGAGGACGTTTTGGACGTGTCAGGGAGAATGTTCTCTGTCCCTCTGGGAGATTCAGGCCCTCAAATTGAAACAGACCCATTTCTCAAGGGCAGACATCAGATCCCCAAATGGGGAAACTGGCCACCCTTTGTAATGGCAGAGGGATCCACCAGAAAGAGGCTGTGGGGCTGGGTGAGCTGGAACTGAGACGAGCCCTAATGCATTTCTTTTAACCTTGGGGCTGAACTTGGTTCCAAACCCCAAGAGCCTTTCCCGAATGGGCCTCCTTTGTCACATTATTATTAGAAAATCAATGGCTATGTCTGTTTCTCTCTAATGTTTTTGCCAGGAATGAAACCAGCAGCAGCTCTGCACCAAACTGCGCAGGGAGGCCTGAAAGGGAAGGGAACTTGGTGGAGGTGGGGGAAACGTAGCCCCCACGGGGGTCCCCACCCGAGTTGAGGGGAGGTACAGCTGCTTCTCTGATGGCTGGGAGCCTGGGATTGCTGTAGGGCCCCTGGGCACTGCTCAGCCACTTAGAGCTGCGCCCCATCTTTCATCTGGGCTGTTGCTCATAATGGCCCCATTTTTCTATTCTGAGAATAAGGGCCCTTCGAGGTGAGGGACTTACTTGCTTTAAGTAAAGCCGTTTGTGAGACTGGTTTACTGTCTTCAACCGGGGCTCTTTTTTCTCGCTTGGGATGGTAGGCCGGCTGCCTCTGAATAATGAAGAGCCCAAAGTGGAACCCCAGAACACCCCTCCCCAACCCCAGGGTACCTTCTGCATTTGCAGAGTCGTGCCGGTCCTGCTGCTGTCCAGAGGGGACTCCCAACTATGGGACAGTGTGCGTGTCTCGGAGTGACTATGTGTGAGAGAGAGAGTGTGTCCGTCCCTAGACTTGGCAGCCGGCAGCCTGCTGTTCATGAGTAGGAAGGCTTCCCAGTACGTGCTTGTCATGGCAGCCTTAGTGGCTGTGCCAGGCGGGAGCTGGAGAGCCCCCCAGGGCCACGCAGACCCCACTGTGGAGGGAAGATGATGATTCAGTTTGAATGAGGGTGATTTCTGCTTGGCTGCACTGACTCTTTCCTGGCGCCAGCTGTGTATGTGTGTGTGCACGCGTGTACTTGAGTGTGTGTGTGCACGGGTGCCATGGGGCAGTCTTTCCACAAGTGCTGGCCTGAGGCTGGTGTAGCCAGAGTCTCACAGTGCCTTTGGTAAGTCCCAGCACCTCCCCTTACCTCGCCTGCCCTCGTGGGTGGTGGTGAGGGCCGGGCTGAGAGTTTCCTCCTTCAGGGTAATGAGGATGAGGGGCACGCCCTCAGGCTGGGCCTTGGCCTCTGGGCCCTGGGGAGTAAGTTTTCTAGGATTCTGGAGCTAGCTCAATGAGGCAATGGGTTTCGTGCCGCAGCCCAGCTGTGGGAAGAGGGGTGGGAAGGGAGGAGGGTGAGATTAACAACGGTCCCAGGCCCGTGGACTGGAAGGGAAGTACACAAAAGCAGATGGAGCCCATGACTCTAGGCTCTTTGCCTGCTGTTCTGCTGGGAGGGGCAGGCTGGGGACCTGGACCATCTTTGGGGCAAGAAGTGGGTGGGTAGATAAGGGGTCAGCATAAAGGGAAATCAGTAGGAGGTTTTAGAGGTGCACTGGATGAAGTTTGGGGAACCCCAGAGAAGGCCAGTGATATTCCAGGGGCCGGCTAGGGCCGGGACGTCATGACGAGTCTTAGTCATTTCTTGGTTTCTTCTCGGGAGCATGGTTTGCAGGATGAGGCATCATCCACTCTTTCCAAAATCCTTCCCCACGGGCCTGGTGTTGCTTGTTGGTTGATGCAGTCGCCTTGGAGACTGTCTCTCCTCCCACCACCTTCCCTCACTTGCCTGGAAGCTCTGGCCCTCTGCCTCCGGGGCTTGGAAGAAGTTGACATCTGTTTCTTGTATCAGTCCTTTGTGCTCCAGGCCCCAGCCCTGTGCAGAGTAGAGATTCTTGGTGAAGGCTAGCTCAATCGAAGCAGGTCCCCAACCCTGCAGAGAAACCCGGGTGTGGGCAGAGGCAGGCTGCAGGGAGATGAGCCCTGCTCCAGCTTGGCCCCCTGGGCTGAGAGGCACTGCCCTCTCTGGGGGAATGATCGAGCCTTTCCCCGTGTCATGCTCATCACCTTCTGCGCCCTGCCATTCCTCCCAGGGGTGCAGGCTCGGGAGAAGCAGCCTGGAGAGCCCCCAGCACCTCTCCGGAGGCGGGCGGCCAGCGACGGGCAGTATGAGAACCAGTCGCCAGAACCCACATCCCCCCGTAGCCCGGGGGTCCGCTCCCCTGTCCAGTGCGTCTCCCCGGAGCTGGCTCTCACCATCGCTCTCAATCCTGGAGGGCGGCCCAAAGAGGTGAGTCCTGGGGCCGTGTTCTGGGGCCCCAGAGGGTAGCAGAGCCCACCTGGACTGTTCAGGAATTTGATGGTCACCTGGGTGGCACTGACCTGTCAGTAAACTCAGTAATTTTTCCTCCCTAGGTCTCCTCCCTGGCCTGTGGAGCCCATTTCCTTCTCTAAATAGCTTTTATGCCCCTACTTCTTCCATGAACACTGAGGCTGAGGTTCCCTTCTGACCCCTAAAGAGGGCGCCTTAGTAGGGTGGTCAGCACCCTGGATATGACATAGGTGACCGCAGTCTCTAAACTCCAGGCCAGATCCTATAGACTGAGAGTTTTTGAGCCCTTTCTAGACATTGGGTTTTCCTGGGAGATCTAATTTCAGTGCCAAAGCGCATTTCTGAGACGTTTCAGTAGTTTGAGGAAGTAGGTCTTAAACTTTAATGAGGTTAACAGTCACTAGGGAGTTTGTTTAAAATGCAGATTCCCAAGTCCCTGTCCAGAAAGCCTCGCAGGGACCCAGGACTCTGCATTTTAAACATGCGCCCTGGAAGATCCTGATGTGAGTGGTCTGTGTTTGATAAAACCCAGGCTAACAAGTCATTCTGGATATAAATGACTTTTGGACATCTTTTCTCTCCTGCCTTCTGGCAGGACCCCAGTGCCCTGCCCCAACCCTCTTCTCTTTGGCCTTGTTGTGAAATATTTCCAAGGCAGGTGCTACTGGACTGTGGCAAACAGCCACTTTCTAGTCTCTTGACTGCAAAAAGTTGTTGGGACCGCAGATGGTGAAGGTCTCTCTTCGACCTCTGTGTTAACCTGGGGAGGGTGAGGGGCCAGCCTGGTTAATTGGGAGCCTTCCTCCTCGGGGTCATGGGCACCCATGGGTACCCCCTTTCCCTCCCTTGTTGTCCTGCAGCCCCATCTTCACAGCTACAAGGAGGCCTTCGAGGAGATGGAGGGAAGCTCCCCGACCAGCCCACCGCCCAGTGGGGGTAAGAACTCTGCACTCAGCCTACTTTCCCTGCGTCCCCTCTGGCCTGTGTAAGCTCTCCAGGTTTGGGGGTGCTGGCAAAGTTGGGCAGGGCCAGAATCTGCTGCTTCTCATCCCTGTGGCTCGTTTTACTTCAGCCTCCCTCCCCCACTGCTCTTCTGTCCCGTTGTCCATGCTCACACATCTAAGGATGCAGCAGCCACAGGCCTAGCATCCAGACTGACCTACGACCACAGGGCTCCTGGACTCCTGTATTGTGGAGTTTGCCTGGTTGATGAGAGCCTTATGTACAAAACATCCCCCGTCCTAAAGTGATTCTTTGTGACTTGCTGGTGTATCTCTGAGACACCCCCGGGCCTTCTTGCTTCTGATCCTTGTTTCTGTCTGGGTTCAGGCACCTCTTCCACTGTGGGCAACCTGTTTAATTTCCACCAAGGAAAGAAAGGCTCAGAACCCTCAGGCTGACCATGTCCCCATCTCATCCATCTCTTGGCCTCCAGATAGGAGCGTTTAGTCTGCATCTCCCTGATGCTCTCACTGGAGAGGCAAATCCCTGAAGGGCAGAGACATTTCCACCCACAGAGAAGACCTGGGTGAGCCTAGGAGAGGGGCAGTGTTCCTGTTTATGGTAGAAGAGATGAGGAGGAGCTGGGGGAGGCCGTGATGGAGCAGTACTCAGGGTCCCTGTGAGAGTCCCAGGTTGGCAGAGATGGAGAGACTGATGATGCTCTAGGGTCAGATTGGGTGGGCCTGGCCCAGGCTATCCATTTGCTCCTGTCAGAGGGGAGGAGGGTGAGGACAGGAGAGTCAGAGCTGGCCATGCCTTCTGGTGGTTGGCTGTCCTGCACAGGGAAGGAGTGTGGCACCGGTACCTGTCCTCTGGGCCAGCAGAACTCATGCTGGCTACCATCTTGGATAAGCAGGAGACTGAAGTTAGGAGTGGACACCACGGCTGTCCCTAGAGCAGCACTGTCCAATGGAAAAATAACATGAGCCATATTTGCAAGAGGAAATTTTCTAACAGCTCCATTAAAAACCATATAGGAAACTGGAGAAGTTAATTGTAATGACTTTTTAAATTTAGCCCCAAATATCTAAAATATTATTATTTTGATAGGTAAATCAAAATCAAAATATTAATTATATATCTTACAATCTTTTTTAAAAAATCAAAAAGAGGCTGATGAAATTAATTTTGATAATAGGTTTTATTTAACCCCAAAGATCTAAAATATCATTTCAATATGTGCTCAGTATAAAAAGATATTTTGCATCATTGTTTCATACTAAGCCTTTGAAATCCAGTGTGCGTTTTACACTTACAGCACATCTTGGCTCAGTCTGGCCGCACTACAGGTGCTCCATAGCCTCGTGTGGCTCGTGGCTCCCATACAGGACAGTGCGAGCCCAGGGCAATCTGTTCAAGACAGTTCTGTGGCCTTTTATGACTCCATGGAATCTCTCTCCCTGGTCTTAACCCCTGCTCTGATTCCCTGTTGGTCCCAACAGCCAGGATCCTGGCCATCACCCTGTTTGGGATGAAGCCATCTGGGCCAGGCTAGAGTTGGGTTCTGCCACATGTTTCTGTTCCCATTCTTCCCTCCCTCCCCTTGGCCAGTCCCGGGTGCTCCCGTGGGAAGAATAAGTTAGAGGTTTCCTCTATGCACAGGGTTGGGAGAGGGACAGAGGCGGAGAAATGTGAGGAATTCTTTTCTTGGGAAGCCAAGCGTTGCCTGGCTTTAGGGCCACCCATTAGTCTGCCTTAGCAGAAGGGCCAGATGCCTGGGGACTGAAGACAGGAGTGATTAGGGAGCTGGAGGTGCTGAGGGGAGCCTTGAGAAACCTCCCACTGCCTCTTGTCCCCTCGTCCCCTGCACCTCCTCTCATTGTTTCACCTGTGCCTCTGTTGCACTTGTTAGGGAAACACATGCGGACTTCTGGGCTGGAGAGGCTTCGTGCTCATTCTTCCATAATTAATTATATTCAAATGCATTAATAAGTGTTTGATAAGTGTCTGTTACAAGACACCTCTGTGTGTGTGTGTGTGTGTGTGTGTGTGTGAGAGAAGGAGGGACAGACAGAAGCACGCAGGCCTAGACCTACCCCAGGCCTGGACGTGTGTGTTGGTATGTGTTTGTCCTCTCTGCTGTATTTGTCCGTTGGATATCTCAGGATGGAGTGAAGGTGGAGTGACAGGTGGGCCACGCATCTGGACTCGTGTGATGGCTCTCTTTTCCCATGGACACCTATGTACACCTGCGCGTGCACAAACAAGTTATTTAAATTACCTGCATTGAAAGATTATATTTTGGAGGGGCTAGTTGCCTTTAGGTCTCACTGTCTTTTGGGAAAGGGAAGCAGTGCCAGGGAAGGTCCCCAAGCTGCTGTGTTGGTCCTAGGCACCCGAGGGCCACAGCTAGTCTGTTGAGGCCATCAGTGTGGGGCAGGCAGCCTCGGGCTCTGGCAGTTCTGTGTGGCTGCTGTCCTCAGTGACTGTGGCCTCTGCAGGCTCCTGAGAGCTGTGATAGGAGACACAGAGCTCATTTCTTTACTTCTTGAAGAGGTGTATTAGGAGACGTGGCAGCTGCCACTGAGAAATCTCGTGACTGGGCAGAGCAACTGCCCAGCATCAGCTCAGAGTCTGGCCATGTCCTCGGCTAATGGGAAAAAGCCTGACTGCCCTTTCTGACCTGTGTGTCCTGTGACACTTCCAACCCAGACAGGCGGCGTGGGAGGGAGCTGGGGTTCGCGCAGGGAAGTGGTGCTCTTGGCCGAGGATTGTGGAGATGGGGCTTCTTCCTCTTCCAAAACATTGAGGTTTTGAGGGGTGGGTAAGAGAGCCTCTGCTGAGGAATTCTTTCCTCCTGGGGTTTGCAAGGGATCTGCTTGCTTGAGGGCCAAAGCCCTGTGACCAAGGGCTGGTCTGGGTCCTAGGGTTGGTTCTGCTGGTGGTCCCTTCCTCGCCTTCTGTCCTTTACAGGGTGCGCCATCTTAATACTACATTTTCTTTAAGTCCATCTACGTGCCTTATTTAGAAAGATTGTGTGTGTGTGTGTGTGTGTGTGTGTGTGTGTGTGTGTGTTAGGGGTGGGATGGGGAAAGTGAGAGGAGGCGGGTAGAGAGAGAATAACATAGAGCAAGTCAGAAAGCGCCCAGGAAGCCTGCATGTGTGTTCTAGCCACGCGATGTGAAGGGACCATAGCAAAGCAACTAAGGGCCTCGGGAGAGAAACTGTTTTCTCGAGGCTGATAAGCAGGGCCGTTCCCTGACTCCCTTTACCCTTTACACTGCTGAGCCATGGAGAAACAGAGACAGGAGAGGAGCCATAGCAGCACCCCAGGGCTGGAGCTGGCTCCGCCGCTCCGTCTCCTGCTGCCCCCCTTCCCCAGCATGCCCTCACTTAGGAGGGGTCCCCTCCCCACATCTCCACCCCAAGCTCACTCCCGGGGTCTCCCCTCTTCTTTCTGGCACAGTGCGCTCCCCCCCAGGTCTGGCCAAGACACCCCTGTCTGCTCTGGGCCTGAAACCCCACAACCCAGCGGATATCTTGCTGCACCCCACCGGCGGTGAGTGACTCTGGCAGGAAGGGAGGCGGTCTGGGAGGCCGAAGGGAGGAGAGGGGAGTTGGAGGACCCCTGGGGTCCTGGGCAGGGCCCAGAGGTGGTGGGTTCTCGGGACCCTTCTGGAAACAAGGTGGCAGGCTGGCTTTGTGCCCACACTGAGGGCAGGCCTGGGTGGGGCTCTGTGCAGCTGAGGGGGACTAATCCCTCTGTAGCCTTCCTGCCCAGGAAGGGGTTCAGTGCCACTTCCAGCGTCCTCTGGCCTGGGGGGCTTGGAGGCCTACCTTGTTTCTGTGGAGTTGGTTAGCGCTCTGCCGGGCGCCTGGCTCCCCACCCTGCAGTGCTCAGACACTTGTGCACACACACACACACACACACACACACACACACGTGCATGCACACACCCCAGGTTCACACCTAGTCACACTTCCCAGCTTCTCTCCTTCCTGTGGGAAAAGGGAAAGTGGGGGCCCTGGGCCCTTACTGGCCATTTTGAACAGGCTGAGCCCAGAAACTTGCTCCCTAGACTCCGGTTTTTGGGCTGGGCTGTGGCCCTGGGGGCCAATTTTGTTTCTTTTCCTTAGTCACCAGAAGACTGATCCAGCCAGGTAGGCGGGCAGTGGCATGCAGGTGTGACCTACGTGGACACATGGCTGGGCACAGCCTCCCACTCAGGATGTGTCTGCATGGTCAGGGACACTGAGTCACCGGGTGGGGGGCTGCCTCTCACCAGGCCCGCACACTCCTGCTTGAGGCGTGGGGACAGTGACAGGGACGCCGGGCTGCTCCTGAGAGTGAGGCCCCCTCCCCTGGGAGCCCTGGATCCGGGGGCATTCAGGATGGACTGCACCCCCTTACCCTACAGCTCTTCTGGGGAGCTTGTCTCTGCCCTGGGCTCACCCTGCTTTCCCAACTGCCTTTTCTCAGCAAAGTCTCTCAAGAAATAATCCCTGTTAACCCCTCTCTCTCTTTCCTTTTTTGCTCTCCCTTTCCTCTTCATCACCTGCCTCTGTCCTGCCTCTCCTTCCTCCCCACTTCTCTTCCCATCTTCCCTCAGAGGAGGATGAGGGGAAGGGGGTGACAGAGCTTCCCAAAGGTAAGTGTGGCCTTGCTGTGTGGCTGCTCCCCACTCTCCAGGGCTGGGAATGGCATTTCACTTCAAGTTTGCGCTGCCTGGCTTGGGGGGCAGCTCTTTGCTCTGATCAGGTCTTGTGTGACACATCGCCCCCAGTCCCCACCACCCTGGTGATGAGCTGTCACCCTGGATGCTGACTGAGGTGCCCGCAGCTGCTGGGCGTGGGTCTGGGTGTGGCCAGTGTCCCGGTGCTAGTGCAGTGCCCCCTGGCTGACAAAATGCCCCTCCCCAGCAGCATTTTTGCCCCCTAACCTGGGGTGCAGCCAGCCCCTTCAGAGGGCGGGGGACCGTCATCCCATTTCCCAGGCATGTTCCGCACTTACAGCTCAGAGCAGGGTTTCTCAACGTCGGCCCCACTGACAGTTGGGGCCGACAGCTCTCAGTTATGGTTGCTGCCCTGGGCCTTGTAGGGTGTTTAACAGCGTCCCTGGCCTCTACCTGCTACATGCTGGTAGCACTCACCCAGTAATGATGATCAAAATGTCTCCAAAATGGCAAATGTCCCTAGGGGAATAACCACCCCCAGTTGAGAGCCACTGTCTTGGAGCCACGAGTTGCCCTCTTGACACCCTTGCGTGATTTCCGGTCAGCACAGGTGGTAGGACATCCATCTTTCTGGGAACTTGGATGCCTTTGGGGATTTTGGAAAAGCCACAGACCCACCCCTACTCAAATGCATTGGGACACCCATGCACGTAATTGTGACAGTTTCAGGGAGTTAGCACGATATAGATGAATTCCACATCGCACACAGGGAAGCAGAGAGGTGATGTAATTTGGCTGAAGGCCTTTAACTTATTAGGGACAGAATTCAAATGATGACTCAGAGCAGCAGGTGAAATGAAGGCGTCCTGCCTGGAACCCCCTGGGCATGGTTCTGGGCATCCATGTCCCCATTTCCACCCCAGGGGCTTGGACTAGGTGGGCACCGAGGCGCCTTCCGGCTCTGACGTGTTAGGTGTTCTGACTTCTTACCGGGGCCTGGGTTCCTTGTGGCCTGGTTCCTTTAAAGACTCCATCTGGTTTCTTAAGCCCACTTCCTGCTTTCCTGTCCACTTACTACCTTGATTTACTATCCGCAAAGTGGGCGTGGGCTGTGCCCCGCTGTATCTGCCATCACCCAGTAAGATGGCTGGAGCTTCCCATAAAACTCGCCCAGTCCTAGCCAGCTAGAGTTCAGGCAGCAATGCCAGGCTGCCTGGGGTGCAGAACAAGGAAGCCCCCATCAACAGATCCTAGAATCGGGTGAGCCACGCGTGCTCCCGGCTGCTGGTTCCCGACAGGGCAGTGGAGCTGGGACGGGGGTCTGAACAAGCTGGGACCTGGAGCCAGTGTTCGTGTGCTGTGTTTCAGGTGCCCGCCCACGCGTCAGGCTTTCAGCTTTCCTCATGGTTGCTGATCTCCACGGGCTGGGGCACCTCACACACTCTCCAGCGGGAAGGTCTGAGGGTGACAGGTGCTGGTTTTGTGTTTCCCACTTTGGGGTGACTCTTTAGAGGAGCGAGTATCCACAGAATGGAACTGACACCCGCCCCTTGCGCCTTATGAATGAATCTCAGCCTACAGGGCATGCGCCCTCTGACCCTCCTCCCTCTGCCCTGGAGTCACGGAGTTTGCAGAGGAAGGTTCTTAGGGATCAACTCAGCCGCACCCCCCATTTTCACAGAAGTGGAGCTGAGGTGCATGTTTTGGGGTGAGGGTGGGCCATCTGCCCAAGGTCATAGTTAAGCAGCCAAAACTGAACTTACTGGTCTCCTGTCTCTTTGTCAAGTGGCCATTTCAAAGCCCTCCTCCTGCCTCCAGGCGCCGTGCCCTGGGATTCCAGCGTGGGGGTTGGAATGGCTGTCGTGGCCTGGGAAGCCGGGCGGGTGGGGGCAGGGGGCAAGGCCTTGGGCCGCCAGTCCCACTTCTCCTGACTCACACATCACCTCCCGGGTCAGACTTAAAAGCACATTCTTTGCTGACCCTCAGAAGTGCTGCTTGATTTCCCTGCTGATACTTTGATGGGAAACTCAGAAAAAGAGGCCTGTGAGAAAAAATGATGAGAGGCAGACTTCCTCAGCTAAGGGGAGCAGAAGACTTCAGGGGACTCTGCTCTGTTCAAGGTGCTATGCTAGATGCTTTTCATTCATTCATTCTGCCATTCGTTGATTCGTTTTTTCAATAAATATTCTGTGTGCCTACCATGTGCCAGGCACTCTGGGGATATAATGATAGGCAGCACTATGGTTTCTAATCTCACGGAGCAAATGCGTGAACAGGCCAGAATTAAATTATCACTCAAAATTACACATTGTGATAGGTGCTCCAAAGGGAAGGGATTCCGTTTGATGAGACCCTGGCTGAAGAAGTAAGATGTGAGGGTGAATGCATTAACTTGGTGACACTGGGGTGGGAGAAAAGCATTCCATATAGAGGTAAAGGGCACGTGCGAAGGCCCTGAGGTGGGAGGAACAGCATGTTCTTTCCAGGAACTGTGAAATCAGTGAAGTGAGAGCAAAGGGTAGCTGGAAGGTGGAGCAAGAGGGAGTGTGGGACAGAGTGAGGGTCATTGGGCAGGGGCAGGACCATGTGGGGTCATGGTCACATCATCTTGTTTAATAATCACAGAAAGGCTGAGAAGAAGGTGGTAGGAACCCCAGTTTGCTGATGAGGAGATGTTTAGGGATGTTAAACGACTTGTCCAGACCTAGAGAGTCAGTCAGGGGCACAGCTGAGAGCCTACCCTGGATCAGCACGTGGAGGCTGCCCCATTCCATGTGGTTGCACAGAGCACCACCTCTAAATGTGAACAGTGTCTTTACTGGGCATGGAGACTGGGAGCTCTTCTCTGTGATGGAAGGAGATGAGGAAAGCCTGCAGCAGTAGACATGAGGTCAACACTGGGGACATCTTCCCCATGGTGAAACGGAAAGAAATTCCTGAAACTTCTTCCCTGGAGGAGCAGGAACAGGGAACATTCAGATAAGGGTCTGTCTGTCTGGATGATTGATGGGATGGATTTGGCACAAAAGAAGACGGTGGACTAGAAATGACTCCTCTGGGGATCTTTCCTGTTCTGAGATCCTTGGTGATGGGTTTCCTGTGGCATCTGGGTATTTCAGGGCAGTGCTGTGCAATGCAGATTTATTGAGCACCTACTCTGTGCCAGGTCCCATGCTAGGCATGGAGGGTATAAAGATGAGTGATACAGCCTATTGAGGACAGAGATGCTGACAGATATTTCAGCATAAGATAGGAATGCTGAGTGGGGGATACGAACAGCATGTGATGGGAGCTCAGAGGACGGCCGTGTGGCTCAATCTCAAAGTTTGAAATTCTGCCTTTTGAGCTCCTGGATTGGGACTTGTGGGGTTTTACTTCCTGCCTCTCCCCCACCCACATGTCTTCATTTCACTTAAAGTGGGCAGGCCCTTTCTCTCCAGACAAGGAACCTTTTCTGGAAGGCAGAAAATGCACTTCAGGGTGAATTTCTGACCATGGGCCCCAGTCACTGATGGGGCCAAGTCGTTCTCTCTGCCTCAAGTCCAGCTGCTCTCACCCTCCAACAGCCACTTGGAATGGGTTTGGGCTCCTGGAATGTTCTCCATGGAGCACCCTCCCTGGCCACACCTCTCCCGCCCTTCCCAGTTCCCGCTGCCTCTGGGCGCAGCTGCTCCAGAATTGGCGTAGAGAAGGGAAAGAGGGTGCAAAAAGAAGGTTACAGGGAGGCGGGCGCAGACACAGCTCAGGCACAGGCTGGCGACGGGGGGCAGCTTATAAACTGGAACTAGCAAGAAAGAACTAGAAAGGACTTTCTCGTCTCTTGACACTTGATCCTGGCTGGGCAGGTGGGCATTCTCATTCCCATTTTACAGATGAGGGAACAGTCCCAGAAAGGTTTAGCAGCCTGTCCCATGTCACCCTTCCAGTAAGTGAAAGAAGGGGGAGCTTACAGGGTGTATGCTGTCCTGAGGTGGGGAGGGGAGAAGGAGGGCAGGAAGAGACAGGAAAAGGGGGCATTTTCAGTACAGAAATCTGAGTCTGAAAATTTGGGAAAACTGATTATTTGACCCCAAAGGCTGGTTTTGAACAGTTCTGGAGGTGGACTCAGAAAATCAATGATCTTCTTAAAGGTACCTCCTGCTCTGGGTTCATGAGGAGCAGAGATTAAGTGAATCTCTACCCCCTGATTTGGGCCTGGAGGGGCAGGAAGGGGTGACAGACTAGCCAAACAAAGAAGAGGATGGAGGTGGAGAAGAAGGTCAGGGCAGAGCCAGGTGACCTGGATCTGAAACATACAGGATGCTAGCCCCAGAGCAAAGCCCCCAGGCTGGCTGGCCACCTGTACTCACAGGGCTGTTCCCGTGATGATGGAAACGGCTGCTGGTGCTTCTCCCTGGGTGAACAGTCCTGTCCCTCAAGTTCAGATGCCAGTTCCTTTGAGAGCTCTGGAGCTTAGGATCTGATGGGAGTGAGGATAGGGCTGATAAGGCCGATGCCTTAAGAATGTGGCCATCGTACAGCCACCTCTGGTTTTCTGATATCTCCAGCTTTCTAACATCCTGGCCCATCAACGTTCTGTGCACACTACACTCGGACTCCTGGCCTTGAGCTCAGGTCACTGTGTTTGGGCCAGAAGGAGTTAGTGGGGATGCAGCCTTGACTAATGGCAAACAGAGTAGATAGGAGTCAGCCTCTGTCATCCCAGGCTTGGCTCTGTTCTGACTGTGGGACAGGTTGGGTGGCCCACCTTACCTCAGTTCTACTGCTGGTAGAAGCAGTCCATGTCCTTTTTGACAGGGTGAGGTGCTTACCCAATAATGTGAGCTGGCAATATCATGTGAGTTTCTTACCCAATGTATGGGTCAGGTCCTGGTAGGAAACAGATGGCTCATTCCAGTGGAGCAACCAAGGAGAGTTTAATGGACTATGTAGAAGGTCTGGGCAAGCCATCGAGGGACAGTGAAGCACCTGAGCAGGAAGAGGGAGCCTGAAGGAACCAGGAGAGAGGTGGAGGAAGGACCCTTGGGTGGAGGGATGCAGCTCTGGCACTTTGACCTTCTCTCCCATCTCCCTCGCTCCCACTCATCCCCTGCCAGTCCCTCCTACTGGCTGGCTGAAGACCAAAGCCATCTGGAGCCCTGAGCTGGGAGGCCTGGGGGATGCAATCAGTAAAAGCTGGCTTCCAGGGACACGGAGCAGGCTGGGGAGTGGATCAGGAGGACATCAGCAGGTCAGAGAGGAGCACGGACTTCAAGGGTCATCCACGTGTTTTAGCTTGAACTTTGGGAGTCAGCAAGAATTCGAGGGAAGGACTGGAATGAATGTGTGCCTCTTAGGTCTTTGTTCCTGTGTACCTCTGTCTGGGTGGGGCAGAGGGTAAAGGTCACACATCTACCAGTTCCGGGACAGACACATATCAGGGACCTATTGTGTGCCAGGCGCTGCAAATACAGATCAGCAAGGAATCCCGGGGCGGCCAGGGAGCAAGTGGTATCTTGCTGTCTCTGGGTCAGGGAGAAGGGTGCTGAGTGCCACGGGCACCCCAGAGAAGCTGAGAGCCTTGAGGGGTCCAGGAGGAGTTTTCAGAAAGTGACCTCGGGAGGCCAGAGATGGGCAGGGAGGGTGGTTTCTGCCCTTGGGTCTCAGTTGCTATTTTCATGGGTGTGAGGCCCTTTCTGATGGTCCCTTCTGTTAATCTGGGTTATCCCAAGGCGTGGGGCGGCCCCCTAAGGCTAAAGACACACTGAAGCTCTTGGCTCCCCGCTTTTCACCTGGCTGTATGTGCGGGGCTGAGGAGTGGATCTGAGGAGCAGGCTCTGAGCCGGACCGCCTGGGTTCCTGGGCCACCCTGCCGCTTGCTACTGTGTGACCCAGGCAAGATACTTACATTCTCCAAATCCTACTTTCCTCATAGAGTTTGCTATTTTTACCATTATTAATAGCCTGTGGAGTTGGCTCTTCTCTGGCTGACTGGCTGGAGTTCTGGGTAGCAGCCAACTGTGGGTGTCCCCATGAGGCTGTGTTCCCTCTCTGGGCCACCCAGAGCCAGCACTGAGAGTCAGGAGATGGTATCCATGACCACTGATTGGCTGTATGTTCTGAGGCGAATCGCTCCATCTCTCAAGGCTGAGGAGATAGGTTACATCAGGAGCCAGAAAACTACAGCCAAATCTGGCCCATCACCTATTTTTATAAAGAAAGTTTTATTGTAACACAGCCATGCTCATTCTTTTATGTATTGTCTGTGGCTGCTTGCGCGATACAGCAACAGAACTAACTGAGCAGCGGTGAGAGAGACTGTCTAGCTCTCTAAGCCTGAAATATTTGCTGCTGGGTCCTGTATAAAAAAGTGTGCTGCCCTGGGCCAGGGGGTCTCCACAGTGTCGCCTGCTTCAGCCAGGCCTCGGGCTTGGATGGCACGGAATCATTGCCTTTGGAGTGGGTGTGACCTGGGGCTTCTGGGAGGTGGGAGGGCAGCCTGGGCTGGGTGAGGGGGGCTTTTGAGGAGGCCTTGCTGGCCTCTGCCCACGAGGACTCCATCATTGGGCGCTGTAGCGGGTCACTGGAATAGACTGTCCCATGCCCGTCCCTTTGCAGACATCTTGCCCTACCCTCATCCACTGTCAACTGCTGTTGGTTGGAGGGAACGTTGGGTGGAAACTAAAAGACACACTGGCAGCCTCTGGCTGGAGTTGTACGCAGACCCCCAATGCCGGCCTCCTCTGTAACGGGCCCTGTTCTGAAGAACCATCCTTTCTTGTGTCCCGAGGCCTCTGAGCCTGGGTGCAGGAGGTCAGGCCTGGAAATCACCTCAGAGGCCAGGCGCAGGAGGCTGTGCTGAGCAGTGAGAGCCTGTAACAGCCCGATAACACCCTGGTGATGAGGCTCCTTCCAAGTAAGGTTTCCTTAGGGCTGAGGGGAGGAGGGGGCTGTTCTCTGACTTGGTGGCTGGCACAGTCCTGGCAGCGAGGACCCCAAGGGCCTGGCCCTCCAGCGCTGCACAGACTCTGTGGTTCTTCTGTTTCTCGGGCTGGTTTCAGCAGACGCCCTAATTGTGGACAGATGGTGGGTGTGTGCTCAGGTCATGTCCCTCCTGGGATGTCCACAGGGACAGTGCCAGGTTTGGAGGTGGCAGGAACATCATCCATCCCTGATCCTGTCCCTGGAGAAGCCAAGGGTGCCCTGCTTCTTCTTCCTGTTTGATAGTGAGTTAGTTTCAGAGGCCCGGGGTGAGGGTGAGGGGGCGTTGGGGGTAGGGGGTGGAGTTGCCCAGGAAATCTGGGTCCTGGCTGTGCCTCCAGCCATCTGCCTGTCCAGGCTTCAGCGTCCTCACCTGCAAACTGACCTTCTGGCACTTGCCCCCGCCCCTCCCCCACCTAGCCTTCCTCTCAGACTGTTCTGAACACCAAGTGGATAACGATGTCAGTCTCGGGAGGAATGCTAAGTGTGTCAGGCAAGGTGGGTGGGTGTGTCTTGGCACACAGGGACAGGGTGTGACTCACCCAACACAGGCCTGTTGCTATGCCAGCAAGCCTGTTTCTGGATTCTGGGCGCCGGGTGGAGCCAGTGTGAACCCGGGCACTGTCCTGAGATGCAAGGGCAGGCTGGAGCTCTGGGCCCACAAAGAATCCAGACTCCAGCGGTGCCTGGGGAGCCTAGAAGGGCCTGGGGTCCAGGGTAGCTGGGCTGTAGAAGAAAAGCAGCAGCTGGCGGGGGGACACCAGTGATGGATGGGCGTCCTGGCTCTAGGAGGGAGGATTCTGTCATGGCTGTGTTCTGAGGCCCATTTCTGGAAAGCTTCTCAGAATGAGGCCCTGGTTAAAGGTTCCCTGGGGGCTCTCAAAGCTTCTCCAAGATGCTGGGAAGAGGGTGGGCATGAATAAGCAGGAGCCCTGGAGAAGTACCCTTTGCCTGCATGGCTGTCCTTTTGGGGCTGTCCCCATAGGCTCTGCTCTGGTGAGGCAGGTTTCCTGGAGGCTGAGTGGGGTCCACTCTGCACCCCTGTGGATTCAGGCTCAGTCCCTGTCCCCTCACCCCTTCCAGAGCCCCGGAGCTATGTCGAATCGGTGGTGCGGACAGCAGTGGCTGCGCCCCGGACTCAGGACCCCGAGCCCAAGAGCTTTAGCGCCCCGGCTGCCCAGGCCTATGGCCACGAGACACCTCTGAGGAACGGGACTCTGGGAGGCTCCTTTGTCTCCCCGAGCCCCCTCTCCACGAGCAGCCCCATCCTCAGTGCTGACAGGTAAGTTGGGGGGGAGGACCCAGACCTGGGACAGCTCAGATGAGGCCTCTTGCATCTGCCTAGGGTGTGGACGGGCAGAAATCATACTCAGATTGCTGCCCCTGGGAAACCAACCCATCAGGGTGCATTGGGCGAGTGTCCCCTGAGTGCCAAATCACCGGGCAGACTACTAAGGTGAACCAGGTCCTTCCCCCAAGTTTAAAATCAAATGAGTCATGACTATGTTGTGAGTGTTTCCTGTATGCAGGCATCTTGCTAAATGCTTTCCATTTAATCCTCACAGCAATGCTCTCAGGTAATACTGTTATTATTTCCACTTCTCAGAAGAGGAAACTGAGGCACAGGGAGAGGAAATAGCTTGTTCAAGGTCCTGCAGCTAAACAGTAGCAGAAATGGGATCCAGACCGAAGGGGTCTGGTTCCAGAGCCCACGTCTCTGTCCTCCCCTGAGACCTGTGTTACAGCACCCACCTGTCACAAGGTGACAGTCAGATGTGCCTGAAGCAGATGTGTAAGCGAGGCGCTCAGAGCTCAGAGCAAAAGGCTGTTATTTCTGGCTCAGGGTGCAGAGAGGGTCTCTGGGGGCTGGAAGTATTTGTGCTGAGGCCAGAAGGTTGAGCAGGGGTTGAAAAGTGAAGGAGGGTGGAGAGGGCCTTCTAGAAAGACAGCACAGCAAGGACAGAGCTGGGACTGCTCCTGTCCATCCCCTCCCATGTCCCCTCCCCCTCTCAGCCTGGAACCCCGTGGGACCCCTGTCCAGCCTCTTCGTCACACTTCCCCAGGCAGGGGTGAGCCGAGTGTGCGTGTACCTGCACTGGCCCAGGGCAATGTGCACGCTCCCAGGTCAGGGGTGGAGGACGAGGTGGGTGAATCAGAAGCAGTTTTCTTCTAGAGTCTGAGAATTGTGAAACCTTGAGCCACGCATGCACCCCTAGTCCACCTTGCCCCTCCTCAGCCTCTTGACGGCTCCGTTTTTGAAAAGGTCTGGCTCTGGGCAGAAGCTACATTCATCTTTTAGAGGAAAGAAGATTTTCCTCACCTGTCTAGCCACCCACGCTGCTGTTCAGGCAGTCCTGACATTAGGAAGTCTTCACTGTTTCTCACTCAAATTCCTCCTGCAGTAGGACTCAGGAAGCTAGCGTTTCTCCTCCAAGATTAACTATTTGGAACTTCATTTCTGTGTCCCCAGCACCCCCAAACCCTCAGCCTGACGTCCTCCCATTCCTCAGAACCCAGGTTATTCTGTACTGAAGTGGTGTTCCACTCGGGCCCCTTCTGGAATGCGAGGTAGACTTTGTCCTGGCCTGGCCCCTGACCTTCTCCCTGCCCTTGGCTCTTGCCTGGCCCTCTCACCTCACATCACCCAGGGGACCCGAGCTTATCCGACCCAGCCCAGGGTGGGACCAGCCAGCTTCCAGACTCCGGCCTTCCAGTCTGCAGCTCCAGGCTTTGTCCCATAGTCCTATGTAAGGACCCCCGCCCCGCCCCCAGCCCCAATAGCTCCTGGTCAGAGCCTGCCTGCTACCTCCCTGTAGCTGCTGCTTATGCAAAGTCCCTGTCAACCTCTGTCTCTCCTTCCATGTCATCAAGGAATAGCAGTTTGGATCTGGAAGGAATCAGGGTCACTTAACCCGTCTCCCTCATTTTCCATGTGGGAAAACTTTAATATGCAGAATGCAGGTTTCCCAACTCAGAGGCCATTGTGTGGACGGCCACATGGTCTTGTACTTAACCTCACTGCAGAACCTTCGGTTGTGTCTATTCCCCCAGGTACAGTGCCCTCTGAACTGAATTTTATCAGTCTTAGAATTGAGAGCAGTGCCTAAGCTCATCTAATATAACCTCCCAATGGAGGAAATTTCCTTCACAGCATTCAGGTCAAGAGATTTGTTAGCCTCTGCTTAAATGCTCCTAACGATGAGAGTCTCATTACCATTTAGGCAGCCTGATCCATTAGTGGTCAGATCCAACGGCTGGAAAGCAACCCTTATAATGAACTGAAATCTCCTTCTATGAGACTTCCTTGTCTTTGCTTTTTGGAGCTACCCAGGAATGAAAGCCAAATTACAGCACTCTCAATGTTTAAAGATGCCCATAGCACACCTGGGAAAACTGAGTCAAGGTGGGGCTACTTCCAGTAGGAACAGGATCCAGGTGGCTTGACCCCCCTCTCCAGTGTTCAGTTTCTATGAAGCTGGAGGGGTCAATAGGACAGTCACCTTCAGTTTCATAGGAGAGGTCTTCTTTGACGTGGTTGAGCAGTCAGTGTGGTGCTTGGGAATACATGGGCTTTGGAATCACAGCTGAGTTGAAATCCTGTTATTTTTATGAGCTGTGTGGTTGTGAGCCAATTGCTTAACCTCTCTGAGCCTCAGTTTCATCTTCTGATGGTTCGTAGGATGATGTATAAAAGCCCCTACTTTCCAATTTCCCATATGAGGGAAGCTTTTATTGTCGTTATTAATGGTTGAAGGGAAGGCTGAGGTTCACTGAAAGCCTGTCCTTCATTAAATGCCATCTGCTGACATCTCGACCTGCCCCACCTCTCTCTAGCACTTCAGTGGGGAGTTTCCCATCCGGGGAGAGCAGTGACCAGGGCCCGCGGACACCCACCCAGCCTCTGCTGGATTCTGGCTTCCGCTCCGGCAGCCTGGGCCAGCCCAGCCCTTCGGCTCAGAGAAGCTACCAGAGCTCTTCTCCTCTCCCGACTGCGGGCAGCAGCTACAGCAGCCCCGACTACTCACTTCAGCAGTTCAGCTCCCCAGAAAGCCAGGCCCGGTCTCAGTTCAGTGTGGCCGGTGTCCACACAGTGCCCGGGAGCCCTCAGGCACGGCACAGGACAGTAGGCACCAACACTCCCCCTAGTCCTGGCTTTGGCCGCCGGGCTGTGAACCCCAGCATGGCTGCACCTAGCAGTCCCAGTATGAGCCACCGCCAAGTGATGGGTCCACCAGGAACTGGTTTCCATGGTAACATGGTCTCCAGCCCCCAGAGCAGTGCAGCGACCACTCCAGGAAGCCCGAGCCTGGGCCGGCACCCTGGGGGCCCACCAGGTTTTAGGCTTCCACGGCAATGTGGCCACCACTCCAGGGAGCCCCAGCCTGGGCCGACACCCTGGGGCCCACCAAGGCAACCTAGCCTCCAGTCTCCATGGCAATGCAATGGCCAGCCCAGGAAGCCCCGGCCTGGGCCGTCACCTGGGAGGGTCTGGATCTGTGGTTCCTGGCAGCCCCAGCTTGGACCGGCACGTGGCCTATGGTGGCTACTCCACGCCTGAGGATCGGAGACCCACGCTGTCCCGGCAGAGCAGCGCCTCGGGCTATCAGGCTCCTTCCACACCCTCCTTCCCTGTGTCTCCTGCCTACTACCCGGGCCTGAGCAGCCCCGCCGCCTCTCCCTCACCGGATTCAGCAGCCTTCCGACAGGGGAGCCCGACACCGGCCTTGCCAGAGAAGCGGAGGATGTCCATGGGAGACCGAGCAGGCAGCCTCCCCAACTACGCCACCATCAACGGGAAGGTGTCCTCCTCGCCTGTTGCCAGCGGCATGTCCAGTCCCAGTGGGGGCAGCAGCGTCTCCTTCTCCCACACTCTGCCTGACTTCTCCAAGTACTCCATGCCAGGTACGCCCTCCCTCCATGTCCATCTCTCCTGCTGGCAGATTAAGTCTACCAGTTAGGATATCTGTCCCAGTCTCTGTCCTGACATCACCTTGGCAGACAATCTTGGGTGGATCACTGACTTCTGGGCCTCAGTTTCCTCATCTGTATAATGGGAGTTGGAGCTGTCCTCAAAGCAGGTGTGCTGTGGTCATGATAGCTGAGGGGGCAGTGATGAGGATGTGGATGGTGTTGGCATTACTGTTATGATTATCATCACCGTCACCATAGTCACTACCGCTTGCTGTGCCACTTGGCAAAGTGGGTATTATTACTTCCATTTTACACATGCACAAACTGAGGCTTGGAGAGGCTCAGTCATTTGTCCAGGGTCTCACAGTTAATAAATGGTTTCCCATCCAGACCCTTATCGCTCTAAAGCCTCTGCTGTTAAAGCATGATCGGAAGTTGTCTTGTGTTTGTGTATCTCGAGGGTAACTGTGATTTAGCACAACCTTGAAAATGGGCCTTCCAAGCCTGGACCCCCGTACCTTTTGTCAGCCCACAGCACTCTGCTTCTACCTGTCAATCCCCACTTTGCACACATCACTAATAATAGATCTGGCAGCCAGATGCCATACGGGACAAGGCCGAGGTTTGGGCATTTTTATTGGAGTCTAGTTTCTACCAACCTGGCTTCCCTGAAGCTCATGCCGGTTTGCACACTGAATTCTTCACTATCACCAGAACTGGGCATATTTTGCTTTCATGTAGATGGCTCATTATCTAAACAAAAAGGTCAAGGCTTCAGCTGATCTGCAGCTTCTCAGCCAGACCTCAAACCTGACTGTGTGCAGAGCGGCCCTGGGGCCTGCGGCATTTGAGGAAGATTTAGAATATGGCAGGCAGCCTGGGATGGGCCCCAGCTGCCCAGATTCTTAGTGTGTCATTCCCAGGTCCTGCCCTGAGCCTGCCAAGCCAGGGGCACCTACAGTGATTCTGCACACCCCTGCTTCCTGTTGTCCACCAGAGACATCTGGTTCCCAGCCCCAGTTCTTGGAGGATGCAAAACTTCTAGTACTTGGGACATTTCCTGTTTCCCACCACCTTCCTTGCTTAAAATAGCCATAGGAGTCAACACAGGAAGGCACACAGGGCTGCAGCCGCCTCTGACAGCTCATTAGACAGACCTCAGCAGCTGTGGGGCCTGGGGCTTCAGAGCAGAGAGAGAGGCAGCTTGCACAGTTGTATGGCCCAGCTGCCTAGTGCAGAGGCCCTGCTCAGTGCACAGCTGCCAGGGAAAGGAGCTGACCTAGACCCCTTCTGTCCTCCAGAGACTGATCCCAGAAGCGGAGCAGAGTGTAAAGGACAAGTTGAAATTGACTAAACACTGGACACACAGCCCAACCCGTGTCTCTTGTCTGTGCCCTGAACAGCATAGACTCCCCTGCTCCAGACTCTCTCTGAAGAAAGGAAACATGTAGAATTGGGTTATTCCTTTTTTTCCCTCTTCCCCCATCCTCCCTTTTGTTTCCCTTGGTGCCAGAAGATGAAGAGGTTGTAGAGTGAGGACCACATGTCCTAGTACCCAGGAAGATACAGTGTAGCTGACACTGAACTGGCTGCTGTGTCTTCTTACCTGGGAAGGTTTTACAAAAGCCTTTCTGTGGACCATCTGTGTGACTTGGGCAAGTCGCTCCCCTTCTCTGAACCTCACACTCCTCACATGCAAAGTTAACTGGTTGGTTACGATGCTCCTCCAGAACCTACTGTTCTATGAAAGCATCCCTAGCCTGTGGAGGGTCTGGGGCCAGGGTGTTTGCTTGGGAAGTGGGTTATGTGACACACAGTAGATGGCCTCTTAATTCCAGGCCAACTCTTCCCCAGTTTGTCCCAGGCAGGGCAGGAGTGATCTTTTTGCTTCTCTGCATGAGGCTGAGCCCGTGCTTTCCATATGGGAAGTGAGGAGGGGATTGGGGAGAAGTGACAGAAATGTATCTTTTTGCTGTCATCCTCGAGGTTGTTATGATAGAGCTGGGAAGTTGAGCCTGTTGGGAAAGAGACTGGAAGGCCAGGGGGTGTCTTAGCCTGAGGGAGAGAAGCTTCGGGAAGGGTTAGCCTGAATCTTCTAGAGGAAGGGGAGGAGGGATAGAGTAGGGCTGGCTTGGTGAAAATGCTGTTCAGGCTCTTTGACAGGAGGGCAGCTCCATGACCCACGATGGTTGGCAGGAGATGGGGAGAGGATGAGAAAGCTGCCTGAGGACCCTTCCAGCAATGTTCTGATGATATCTGAGCAGACTAACCTTCTGTGTTAGTTTCTTAAACAGCCATAACAAAGTCCCACAAACTCGGTGGCCTAAGGCAACAGGAATTTATTCTCTCACAGTAGCGGGGGCCAGAAGTCCGAAATCAAGGTGTTGGCAGGGTTGATTCCTTCTGGAGTCTCTGTGGGAGACTCTGCTCCAGGCCTTTCTATTAGTTTCTCGTGGCTGCTGGCAGTCTTGGGATCCCTTGGCTTGTAGACACATCTTCCCAATCTCTGCCTCCATCTCCTTCTTCATGTGATGCTCTCCCCATGTGTCTTCCCGTCCCCTTCCCTCTTCTGGTAAGGACACCGGTCATATTGGATTGGGGTCCATTCTAATCCAGCATGACCTCTTCTTAACTCAGTTACATCTGCAAAGACCCTATTTCAAGTAAGGTTCCATTCATAGGTACTGGGGTTAGAGCTCCAAAGTACCTTCCTGGAGGACACAATTCAACCCACAACCCTTTCTTTTCCTCTCCTTCTCCTTTAGACAACAGCCCTGAGACGCGGGCTAAAGTGAAGTTCGTCCAGGACACCTCCAAGTATTGGTACAAGCCTGAGATCTCCAGAGAGCAGGGTGAGTGCTGGGCGGCGCTGGACGCCCTAGGGTCCGTCCGGTCACAGCTGGCTGCTGCCCACCGTGTCTTTTCTGGGCAAGGAACAGACAGTTCCTCTTTGCAGTAGGTGGTGGTCCCAGAGAGGGGCTGGGACCAAGCTTAGACAGTAAGAGGCACCTCCCCACTGTGAAGTGGCACGGAACAGGAGCAATGGTTGTAGCTGTTCCTTTGAAGGCTCCTTAAAAACAGCAAAGTCTTGGTTTTCCAGGGCAAAATCAAAGGTTGGCAGAGATGATATGAAACTTTAACTCTTTACCTGCATGATGTGGAAGATTTTTGCACATTTTACAGAAGAAAACATAGTTGGGATTGTGGGGGTGGAGATGTGAGGCCTTGGCCCCTGAAGAAAGTCTGTGTGGCTGTCGTGCAGGCTGACTGCCGCCCAGGGTTGGATCCGGACTGCCGCCTGTTTTCGTAAATACGGTTTCATTGGAACAGAGCCGTATCTGTTCATGTGTGTCTGGGCTGCTTTCGGGCTGTGATGGCAGCGCTGAGTAGTTGCAGCCGACACTGCCTAGCCTGCAAAGCCTGAGATACCGTCTGGCCCTTGACAGAAAACTTTGCTGACTCTAGCACAGGAGGACCCTTCGGAGTGTTTGCACTTGAACTTTAATCTCTGCTCACCCGAGGGAATGAGATTCGTGGCCCGATGAGACTTAAGCAGAGCCAGTGCACCAATTTTTCGTTTCCTCTTCTCTCCTCCTGATGCAGCCATCGCCCTCCTTAAGGACCAGGAGCCAGGGGCTTTCATCATCCGTGACAGCCACTCCTTCCGAGGAGCCTATGGGCTGGCCATGAAGGTGTCTTCGCCCCCTCCTACCATCATGCAGCAGAATAAAAAAAGGTGACACCAGCTCCTCCAGCAGGGCCTCAGCCTAGGTGGCCCCTACGTTCTTGTTAGAGCCTGAGCTGCTGGAAGGGCTAGGGGAGGGGGGCTGTCAGCTTCTAATTCTCTCTGAGGCCGGTTCCTGCCAATCAGACTCTTAAGAAGAGTGGGTCTTGGGCTTGCTGATGAGCGGGGTCAGAGAACAGGGAAGCAAGATTATTAGCACCCTGTGATTGAGTTTTCTCAAGGGCTGGGCTAGCAGTGGTGGTCTCTCCACTCCAGGTCTCTGGCCATGCTACTGCTGCGACCCTCTCTCCATTAGAGCCCTGCACGCTGGAGGAGTCAGAAGTGGTGTGGGGAGGTGGTGGGAGGGTGCCACGAGGAGTGACCAATCTGCATTTCTTTCTTTTCGTCCCAGGAGACATGACGCATGAGCTCGTGAGGCATTTCCTGATAGAGACGGGCCCCAGAGGAGTCAAGCTCAAGGGGTGTCCCAACGAGCCAAACTTCGGTGAGCTGTCCCCTCCTCTGCCTCCCAGTCTCAGGCCTGTCCCAGGTTCCCTGCCACAGCTTCTGCCCGGCGCCCTTGTCACAGACGCAGCAGAGAAGTGAATACTGACTCCCTTCCTCTGCGCTGTGGCTCCTTCACTCTGCCAAACCCATTCTGTATTTGTCCTCCCTGCGGAGACTTCTGTCATTCTCATTGGAGTCACAACTATAACATCTGCCTTTACCCACCACTTACTTACTATGTGAAAGTCACATCCAGGTACCTTGTATCACTCCTGGTCTCAACCATCCTGCATGGTAGGTGTTGTCCCATTTTACACATGAGGAAACTGAGGTTCCTAGGAGTTAGACACACCCAAGGACACATAGCTAATATGTTGCTGAGCAGGGATTTGATCCTACCATCTGCTGACACTTCTGCCGTACACTCCTGAGAGCAGCCCTGGCGGCTGGAGGGACTTAGGAGAGACATTGGGAGTAACTTCCTATAAAGGAAAGTTATGCGGTAACTTTCTGTCTGCAAAAGTGAGCCTTTAGAATCTTCCCCCTTGAATCTTGCTAACAAAGAGGGAGTGGATTTTCAGCTTTGTGGGTGGGTTGAGGGAGAAGAAATAGAGAAGCTGAAGATTATAGACAGCCATGGGGGGATGGGTGGGCTTCCTCTGTGCCCCTGGCTGGCTCTCAGTAATGCTGTGGCTGACGGGCTGTCTCCTTCCTGCAGGATCTCTGTCTGCCCTGGTCTACCAGCACTCCATCATCCCTTTGGCTCTGCCCTGCAAGCTGGTCATTCCAAACCGAGGTAGGAACCTGAGACTCCTTGCCCTCCAAGCCACACCCTTGTGCTGGCCTCCTTCTTGTCTCGGCCCAGCCAGCTGCTCCAGAACATGGGCCAAGGTTGGAAGAAATGGGTTATTTGGCCAAGCTGGGGAAACTCAAAACCACTCTCTTCTTTATTTTTTTCTAATAAAAAAGAAGGGAAAGTTCATTAAAAAGCTTAACTCTAGAAATATACTTAATTGACTTGCCAGATTGTTCTGGAAAATTCTCTGGAGGCTTTAAGAATTCGTACTTGCATCCTCAGGATTAAGCTTCACCTCAGGGGAGGCACTTGAAGCAGGAGACAGTCCTGGGGAGGCCCATGCCCAGAGGATGGGATGAGCGTCAGTGGGCAGGGCCGAGGGAAGGGGGAGGTGGGGCAAATGTAGGTCATGGGGCATCCAGGTGTTGGGGGGTTTCTGCTTGGAGAGGAGTGAGCACAATCGAGGGCTCTCTTAGAGGAAGAGGTGGCTGGGCTCCACGTGGTGTGGGAAGGAAACAGGAAGCCTAAGGGGTCCCTGGAGTTTCTAGTCTGCATGGTAGAAAATGTTCCCTGGACAAGGGGATACTGAGCTGATGGTAGGAGCAAGCCCTCTTTTGATTGTGGGAAGTATGCATGGAACCCAAGAGCCTTAGGACATAGAAGGCGAGAATTTGCGTGAGATACCGGGGCTGGACAAGGAGATTTTAGTTTCTCTTAAAGAGGTGTCCAGCTTTGGAGGATGGCAGATAGACACCCCAAACTCCTCCCAGCACGGGCTTCCATCACGCAGATTCAGGTCCACAGGGCCCACACGAGGGGAGGGGAATATGCCTGGCCCTGAACTTGAGGTCTAGGAACAGGGAAATGGGGTGCCGTCTCCCAGTGCTCTCTGTTCAAGAATAGGATATTCAGAAGTGTGTCTGGGACTTGCTTTCAGTCTGTCTTGGAGAGCCTGGGGTTATGTCCACACATAAAACCTCCAATATTATTTGGCAGTTTCTGTGTATCCAATTCAATTTGTTGAATTATTAATGATAATTGACCACTCTTATTAGTTTAAAAGTTCAAATACTATTTAAATAGCACTGTTAACTGCAGGATTTAGGCACTATTAAAATTACATTTCTAAGGAATTTACCAAAGTAATTCAACAATTATGAAACTGCTTGATCATTTACACTGTACAAATCACTTGTTCTCAAAGTTTGGTCCCCAGACCAGCAGCATCAGCTCCCCTGGGAACTTGTTAAAATTGCAAATATTCTCAAGCCCCACCTAATCCGAACCTCTGGGGTGGGGCCCAGCAATCTGTGTTTTAACAAGCCTGCACACCAAAGTCTAAGAAACGCTGGTATAAACAACACTCAATTCTTATTAATATAGAAATTATAGTTGTGCCGCATTGTGGTTTAATGAAATAGGGCATTTATTGATCTGTACAAAGACACGTCAGTACAAAACAACTTGCCGCTTGAATGCTTGCTGTATGCCAGCCACTGCGCTGACACTGTACCTGGAGCATCTCAAAAACCCAATGAAGCAGGTACTCTCACCATCACCTCCGTCTTGTAGATACTTGGTAAGTGCCTGGGTGGCCATATGAACCCCACCCTGTTGGACTCCAGAGCTCCCGACCAGTGTGCTGAATACTTAATGACTGGACGTTTAAACTGGACACACGTGCCATCTGCCAGGGCCTGTTAGGAAAGGCAGTATCCGTTGCACAAAGTATTTGCAGAACCAGCCAAACTTATGTTTCTTTCCAGCTCTGGAGTTTTAATTACCAGCTGAATTAAATGTTTGTCTCAGACCCCACAGATGAATCGAAGGATAGCTCGGGCCCTGCCAACTCAACCAGCGACCTGCTGAAGCAAGGGGCAGGTGAGTGGCCACCCCAGATGGGATCCCTGCCCAGGCCTTTCTTCCCCTCTGCCCTGTACCCTCCTGCAGGTGCGGGCTGGATGTCTTTCCCAGACCCAGATCTCCCTGGGCAGACCACATTTCTGTGTGCACATGCCTTGGCCCAAGACTGGCCTGAAATTCATCTGCTAGCTTCTCCCTTTAGGGAGTGGTGCCCACCCATTTCAATCTCCATGACTCCTTTTTGGGTGGGTATCTTCCAGCCTGCAATGTGCTCTTCGTCAACTCTGTGGACATGGAGTCCCTCACTGGGCCACAGGCCATCTCCAAAGCCACTTCTGAGACACTGGCTGCTGACCCCACGCCAGCAGCCACCATCGTTCACTTCAAAGTTTCTGCCCAGGGAATTACACTGACCGACAACCAGAGAAAGTAAGACTCTTCTGCTTGCTTCTGTGTTCCTGTGACCCATCTGCCCATCCACGTACGCACCCACTTACCAACTGATTCATTCATTGCATCCATCTATCCATCCACCCACCTATCCATTCATCCACTTGCTCACGCACTCACCAATTGATCCATCCATTCCTGCATCTATTCATCCCCCATTTATCCTCTCCCACTTATTTATTCCTTCACTCATTTATGTCACCCCCTATCTATCCATCCATCCATCCATCCATCCTTCCTTCCTTCTACAGATATGCCTGAATAGGTTAGATAGCTGTAAATGTACCTGATAAAAGCACCTACTCTCTAGAGTGGAGCCCCTCGTCTCATGCTCTCTCCCCAGCCCCTTTTCTTCCTCCTCCAGTGTCTCCCCCATTTCTCATTCCTCAGTGCCAGTTTCTTCCTTCTTTTCCTAGCCTCTAGCATTTGGGACATGTTTCTATGATACGTCCCTCTGTCCCTATGTGTTGCTTTATGTCCCCAATGTGAGCAGCTCCGGCCATCATGCTCATAAGGGAGAGGCTGTGTCGACCTGTGACAGCCACAGATGGAGGGTGGGGAGAGCAGTCACTTCAGCGCTTAACTCTCTGTTTCTCTGATGTGTGTGCCACAGGCTCTTCTTCAGACGACACTACCCCCTCAGCACCGTCACCTTCTGTGACCTGGATCCGCAGGAGAGAAAGTAAGTCTCTTGTAGACACCTGCCCTCCCAGCCACCACCAGCACACTGGGGTCTGTGTGTGTGCACTCGTGTACGTGCGTGCATATGCATGTGCGCTTGTGTGTGCATACGTGTGTGCACGTGCGTGTGTGCATTCTTGGATCAATTTGAAGATCTACCTGTGTCTTTGGGACTGTGAGTCACTGTGCAGGGCATCTTTTTGAGTTTTTCTATCACAAATTTGAAGCGCCTCCCAGGGATTCACACGCCTGCTTCCACCCCATCTGCTGTGTCCCTGACCCCAAATCTGATTCTCCCTCCACGTTGGGGAAGGCTCCTTGGGTGGCAGGCCGCCGTGTTCTCTTCACTATGAATGCCCTGCTACGTGGGGCTCCCATCCCCGGAACAGGGGCTCTGCCTTCCCAGGGGGCCTGGGCCTGCCCAGGGCTGGGCTCTAAGGGAGAAGGCGGGGTGGTTCACACTGTGTTGTCTTTCTTTCTGCAGGTGGATGAAGACGGAGGGAGGTGCCCCTGCTAAGTAAGTGTGCTTGTCTCCCACCCCGCTGGCTGCTCTTTGTGCCCCTTGCTTGGTGGTGGGGTAGGGTGGTGGCGGAGGTGGTGCGGGAGCAGGTTTAGAATCCAGGACCAGGGGTAGGTAAAGGGCAGCAAGGGTCACTCAGTTTTGGAGAAAAACTTGACAAAGGCCCAGACTCCAGTCTTGTCCCCTGCCCTCTCCCAGGACCAGACCATCAGGGGTTTGAGGAAGTGAACAGAAATCGTTGCGTTTTACTGAAGGTGACGGCAGTGGGGCAGGGGTTGTTTAAATGCTCTTTCCTGCAGTCCTGGCTCCCTGGTTTCCCTTTCTTGCTCTCTTGACGTGGATGGGCTAGATCTCCTCTTCAGACTGAGGGAGTCTGGAAGGTCTGAATTCCAGGGATGGCCCTGGGGCCCTCTGGTCCATTTTTCCATCCATTCAGCAATTCGTAAATGCCTCCAGGGAACTCAGCTCTGGGAGGAATCAGACCAACCAGGAGGCTGACTCTGCCCCCAGGAGGTCTGACGTTGGCACAGTGAATGAGATAAATGTATAAACAGCAGTGGTTTTCAAACGGTGTTCCAAGGAGCCCTAGGGTCCTCAGGTTGCCACTGAACTGTTACGCAGGGAGGAAAACCCGGCTATGATTTGCAATTATTTATAAGGATGAATCAGGATTTTCTCAGTTAAACCAAAACATAGTATAGGAATAACCTGGGTAATGAAGCTGATATAAGGCTGTCACTGCGATCTATAATTCCACCTTTTACTTTGGTTCATCCAAACAGCCCCGTTTTTTCTCACTGATGGACCCTGTAATAGGTAAAGGTTATGCTGTTGAATTGACACATTTATAGCCATAAGGACTGCTGTCAGCTTTATATCTCCAGACGTCATATAAGATTGGCTTTAGAAAAAGAAAACTTCTGCTGTGTAAAAAATAAATAAATAAATAAAGCCACTGCTGAATGAGATATGTCAGGAGGGTACAGCTCACATCTGTGGTGTCGCAGAGGAGAGAGCTTCCAGGCAGGGAGAGAGTTGGGAGAGTTTGGGAAAAGAACCTATATTTAAAAATAGGTCTTAAAAACAGGTCGAAATGGGTGTGGGGGTAGGAGAGAGCTGATTTCTTGGGGACAGGGAGGTGGGACCACAGATTGAAAGCTCCCTGAGGGCAGGACTGTGTCTGCTGTGTGGGAGGGGCTGATAAATATTTAATGAAGAAATGAGAGGGTGGAGGCAGGGAGGAGGAGAGCGAGGAGGAGCCCCAGTGAGGCTACCATGGTCAAGGTGAATGGAACTGACCAATCTCAGCACAACGAATGCTCCCTCTGGGGGTGTCCAGAGGGGCCTGTGGGATGGGGGCCCTCACCTGGCCCCAGGTCACATAACGAGTTAGCAGCCCCACCGAAAGGAGGCCCCAGCATCCAGTCCTCTCAAAGCTTGCTTCTTTTGTGCCTCAGCTCTTCCTGGGCTCACGGGGTCATTAGGGTCTCCGAGTCCCCCGCCGGAAGGCCAGAGCTCCCTGCGGGAAGGAGCTGGGAGGGGGAGATGGGCCAGGGATGGAAACGGGCTGGCCCCAGGCCTGGAAATCCCTCTCCTCATTTGGGGGCAGGTTGGGTGTTGAGCCGGCTGATGACTCGCCCTGGCAGAAGTCCGGGAGAGCTCAGGGCTGGACTGCGGTGAGGCAAGCGAGATGCCTCAGGCCCCCGATTTAAGGGGGTGCTTGTTCGTGCTCCTCTCTGCCCTTGAGGACTGAGGTTCCTCACCTGCATCCACTCCCCCAAGCAGAGGAAGGACTTGGGCTATTGTGAGTCGGCTCTGGGACCATGGAGCTGAAATAAACATCAGGGGAGGGCAGGTGGGTGGTGTTCAGCCTGAGAGGTTGGCCAGCTCTCCATCCTGACAGAACCTGGCACCAGCACCAGGGTGGGTGCTCTGTCATGTGGGCAGCTTGGAGCCACTCCCTCTCTCCGCCCTTATCTCCCTCCATGGCACAAAGGAGCCTGGAGAGGGGGCTCTGAGGAGTGGTCCACAGGCCCAGGCTTCCCTACTTGGGTAGACCCTTACCCCAGGCCTCTGGCTTCATTGTTCCCAGCCCCTGAAACATAGTTGGGGATAGCAAAGCCGAGGGGAGCCCACTGTGTGTGTGTGTGTGTGTGCACATGCATGTGTGTGTACATGAGTGCACGGGGTGACAAGCCAGACCCAACTTTGCTAATTTTAGCTGTTGAGGTCCAGTCCTGGGAGAGGGGTTTCCATTGGAATCTCCAGCTGTCGTGATTTCCCCATCTAGCTCTAATTAGCAACGTGCCGGCTGGGAGGGGACCTGAGCTCACATTCTGTTCTCCCCGCTCATATTTTTAACTCTGTTTTGCACAGAGAGAATGCTAGGTCACTCCAGTCCTGGTGTGGGGAGTGGGGGTTGGGGGAGCAGGTGTGGGGTCCCATCCCGCTCCCGTTCTTTTGAGCCCAGGAGAAATGTGTGCCTGTGTGGTGGGGGATGGTGGTCCCTTGTCCTTGGGTCTCCTTGACCTTCTATGGTGTCTGAAAAGGCAGGGGACATTTAATTCATTTGTTTGTGTTGTGTGTGAGAACAGTCGGGTAAGGGTGGGGCTGGGACAGGCGGAGAGAAGCTGGTCTAGGAATGTTCCATTTTATTTTTGGTCTCATCCCCACCTCTCACTGTGCAGTCTTGTCATTCACCTCCAGCACCTCCTCCCTCTGCCCCTCCCAAAGGGGAATTTCTGCTGACCCTGAACAAGTGACGCTGTCATCTCCAGGCGTGGAGGAGATAGGGTTCTTTCCTGTGCTCCACTGTCAATACCCAGAGCGCAGTAGGGTGGGGCAAGATGGGGGAGAGAGATCGGCTGGAAGACGAGCTTGCTCTCCTGGGCAGCTCTCTAAGGCTTGGGGTTCCTCGTGCTCCCTCCTCACACCTGTCACCCCTCTCCTGCCCCTGCAGGCTCTTCGGCTTTGTGGCCCGGAAACAGGGCAGCACCACGGACAACGCCTGCCACCTCTTTGCGGAGCTCGACCCCAACCAGCCGGCCTCTGCCATCGTCAACTTTGTCTCCAAGGTCATGCTGAGTGCAGGCCAGAAGAGATGAACTCCCTCCCCTTGCCCCAGGGCCAGGGCAGTGGGGATGGGGTGTGTGGGGAGGGGACCCATGAATCCTGACCATCCTTGAATCCAGAAGGAGGACTTTGGGCCAATTTTGGAGAAGGAGAGAAGAAAGTGTAACGTGGGGAGAGGGAAGTGAATTGAGTGGGGAGGGGGAGAGAGAAAGAAAGAAAGAAAAAGATAGAGGAGGAGAACTCGGATTCCCCCAGGTAGATGGATACTGTGAAACCCCCCAGAGCCTCCAAAACTAACCAGATCCACCTAACTCCCCCTCCACCCTCTGAGAGGACGGAACTGCTCAAGGGAGACAGAGCCAGCTTCCTTGGGGACCCACATTTTGGGGAGAAATGGAAAAGCTCTTTCTCCCTAACCCAACTGCTTTGCAAGAAGAAATCTTGTCAAGAGAATCTTTTCCTGGCCACCTTTAGGGTAGATCACCAAACCAAAAAAAGGCAGCATGGGACATCCAGTGGCAGAACTTTTGCTTTTGAAATTATCTCAGACCCAAGGCACTTAAGGTCTCTTTGCTCTGCCTCCGATGTACAGTTTGTGTATATATGGCCATGCCCACGTCCTCACACACTGATCTGTTTGCCTCTCACCTAGAATTATAAACAGGTGTGCTTGTCCATGTCCCCTGTGTTTGTACACACGTGTATCCTGTCCAAAGAAGGTAGAGTTGGGGAGACAGGGCAGCTGTGGGGGCACAAACCCTCTTCCCCAGGAGCACGCAGGATGATGGATAACGGACTCTTTCTCAGTCTCTGCACCTGCTCTAAAGACCTTGGGTGCTGCCAGCCCCACCTCTTCACAGAGACCCCGACAGGAGTGGGGCTGGCCATGTTGCAACGTTAGCCTTGATCTGCCTCCACCAGGAGGCTGGAGCATTGGTTTGAGGAGATGCGGACATGTGTGTCTGTAGCCTTGGGGAAAGGATCCCTCAGGAAAGGTGGCTGTTGAGCTCCAGGCACCTTTCTCAAGGCATGCGGTCCAGCATCGGGGTGGGCAGCTTCCAGCCCTCCTCAGCCCCTCCTTGGGTTTTGTGCCCCAGATCCGCCTTTCTCAGACTGGCTTACGTGCATGATGCCTTTTGGGGTGCTGGGGGTTGAGCCTTCCTGCTCTGCCCTGCCCTGTCTTGTCCTGAAGGGTCCCCGCTTGGGGGCTCGTCCTGGGAAACTGCTTCCAGAAGCCCTGCTCTGCGAGGCCACAGAAGACGCCCACAGTTCCCGTGCTCCCTCTGCACGGCTTTGGGGTCTGGCTTTTGCTGGGCTGCCCGGGGGAGCTGGGCAGAGCTTTGGGGGCTGCTGCCTGTGTACCACACGGCCTGTGTACGATACCAAAGCCTTGTTCTCCCCGCTTCTGCCTTGGGCTCCCCGCAGAGCCCAGCTGCCGCAGAGCAGAGAGCAGAAGGCTCACATTTAGGCCAAGGGGCCAAGAGTCCAACTGGGCTATTGGGAGCCCCCTGACCACCACCCAAGGTCTCTAAGCCGGATGGAACATCCACCAGGTCTCCGTCCTTAAGTAGCTCTTAAGCCTCTGGGCTCTCTAGAGAGAGGCGTTGTACTGATATATAAATATATATAATATATATGTGAGACATACTGACAGAATCTGTAAGCTAATAAAATATAAGAAAAGGTTAAAAAAAAGAATAGGTAAATTGACAAGAAGTATTTATTATTTTCCCGTACTGCGTTATGGCCTCCCTGGCATAAACCAACCCCCATCCCTCTCTGTACAGATAAGTGAAGCCTGAACTGTAGGGGCCTTTATCCTTGGAGCAATCGGGGGTCTCCTTGCCTTGGCCTTCGCTAGACTCTGTTTGGGGCTCAGTGGGCAGAGGGTGCAGGTGTTCCATCCCCTTTAGTTTCGGCCAACCGGGGCCCCGCCGTCAGCTCCCAGCGATGAGAGGGGAGCTGCCCTGGTCGGTGTGAGAGCCTGCAGGGGACATGGGTGTGCGTGCTGGGCGTGGGTGATGTGTGCGTCTTGTATTATTTTCCTTCCAAGAAGCTGTGTCTGTGCGGACATTCTGTTTGAGGGAGCTGGAAAGGAGAGCGTCTGAGGAAGGCTGGGAGCAGCAGCCCACCCCGTGCTTCCCAGAGGTTGAAGCCTTGTTCTTGGTGGCTGAGATTCCTTCAAAGTGCTCTTCCTTCTGAGGCCTTGACTACCCTGATTTCCCCTCTCTCATTCCCTCCCCACCCCCAGCCCACCTCTCTTCCCAGACAGAAGAGAATATTTGCACCTAGTTCCTTTGTAAATATCTTAATCTCCCACTGGACAGTCTGGGGACTCTCTCCTCCTGGTCTGGATGGCCAGGTGGAGCTTCGGACCCTTTGTGCAAATCTGGGTTCAGCCTTTGACATGTGCTTTCCCACTGCCCACCAGCAGCCCACCTCTCAGGCATGGCCAGCCCACCCCACTCAGACCTGACCGTGTGTGACTCTGGGAAGGACCCAGGAGATGCTGGGAAGCTGATCAACTCATTCTCCAGCATCCTTCTGGAAGGAGTCAGTTTCCTAGAGCTCGGCCTGTTCAGAGGAGTGATGGGGAAGGGTACCCCAGTCTCCATCGTGGCTCTGCCTCTGGGTCAGACATTGCTTGGAAGACACCATAGCCCCCCCGTGTCTCACAGGTTAGGCCTGTGCACCCTGCACACGTGCACACACACGCACACACACACACACACACATACATCACAGCACTGCGGTATATTCTTGCCAAAGATTTCCTTTCAAAGAAAGCACTTTTAATAATTATTGTTATTATTGTATGAATGTCTATCCTCTTTTCTCCCCACCATTTGTGCTGTCGTTTATTGTTGAATCTGTTTGTCAGCCAGGAGAGTGCAGTCTGGTTGTGAAAATGGGCTGGGGAGTGGGGGACAGAAAGGGTCTGGGAGGACTTGCAAGAAGGAGCCTGGGAGGCAAGGTCAGCTTGTGATGCAGTGACACGGAGCCCAGGCAGCCTCAGGCCCAGCGCCGGGCCCAGCCTGCCTCTCACTGTGCAGCCAGGCCTGGAGGCAGCCAGAGCCTTGTAGCCGGCCTGTTTGGTGCCTGGAAGGCAGGGGTCAGGGGAGTGACACCCCTCCCATTCAGGGAGGGAGGCCCAGTGAGGTCTGCATGGCCCTTCCAGATGGAGTCAGAGGGGAA